CCCTCTGGCTCTCTCGTGCTATTGATTATCTTGGAGCTGGCTACTTTGTTTTGCTGCCCCAGCTGGATTCTGATGTGAGAAGCTGCCGAGGCGGCAATCATAAAACATCATTAAGAGAAAGCGCAACTAAATCATCTCTGTGTCAAATGAGGCTAATTACACCAGCCAAACCCTCCCTGTCAGCACAAGGATAAGATGCGTGGGGGAAGCAGCTGGGAGAGATTTACCCACTTCCTGTCCTCATTCAGCAAGATGCAAGTGAGACGGAGCTGCGCCCCTCGTGCAGATTGCTACATGAGTGCCATCATCAAAAGAAGCATTTGGTCACTTGAAAAGAATCAGAATTCAATTCATTCATATGGAACAGGAATTGGAAAGCGTACAAGAAAAACTTCAAATAATTTTCTTGGAAGAGCTTTATATTTACATGCAAATTGTAGTTTTCTGTTTTCTTTCTACACAGTTGCATCTAAAAGTCTCTCCATTTCTGCAAAAGTGGCAAGATTTTTAAAGATTCTTTTATTGTCCTTGATATAATTAATGGTTATAATTAATTGTTTCCTTGACTGTGGAATTTTTTTAAATGCACTATATTTTTATAACTGCTTTTCTCTTTCTTTAAGTGTTTTTGTGGTTATCCCTAAAATAAGAAAATAATAATATTTATTGATGATTTAGTCTGTGCTTTGTACTTTTCCATTTAATGTATGATTACATATTGCCTCATTTAACTCCCTTCCAAACTGCATGTGTGAAAATTATTAGATATGAGCCAATAAGTTGTTTCATATCACGTGCATACAGAGGACTGGGGCTGGCACCGGAACCCAGGCAGGATGGCTCCATATCCTTCTTATTTATATTTATTTAGATCAGTATTTCCCAAAGTATGAATTTTTTAAAAGTTAAACATACGGAATATTGGTAAGAGATTTTTGAAAGAAGCAAAGCATGAATTAACTAAAAAGTTGGAGAAAGCTGAGCAGATAGATTTAAGTGTAGAATTTCTTAGAGTTTCCTTAAGCTCTTGTGCTTCATAAACATCTAAAACAAAGTAGAGTATGACATTTCCCAAGCCTTCTGAATGCAACACTTCTTGGCTGAGTCTGTTTATTTTTGAGGTCCTCAAGTTCAAACTCCAGGGCTTTGCGAATGCTGAACACACATCTCACACTGCGCTGTGGGGTAAGGCTGCTAGAGGGTGTCCTGTGCGTTAGACATCTACACAGTGCTGTTCCTCCCAGCCGGGGAGCTCTTACTCACCTTTCACAGGACCAAGGGCAGGACTGACAGAACAAAATCAGTGGTAGGTGGCCAGGATACACCTGTGTTCTCTGCTGTGAAAATGATCTTTCCCTGAATCAAAAGCATCATACAAGGGCCTAGTGTGTAGCTCAGTGACACAAGTGCCTGCTTGGCAAGCACAAGACTGTGAGTACAATCCCTGGTACAAACAAACAAAAAAAAAAAGCATCATACCATAGTGACATACACACACTCATGTTTATAGCGACATGATTTGTGATAGCTAAATCTTGGAAACAGTCCGAATGCCCATCAACTGATGAATAAAGATGCAGTTTTTTTTATGCAATGGAGTACTACTCAGCCATAAAGAAAGATAATCTTAAAACATTTCTAGGTAAATGGATGCACCTTGAGAACACAGTCGTAAGTGAAATAAATCGCACATGTGCAAATACTACATTCTTTCTCTGGTGTGAGAGACTGAAAGTTCAAATAAGGACCAAATGTATAGTAGAAACTGTAAATTAGGAAGAAAATGTTCAAATGGGAAGGGGGGTACAGACTGCGAGGGAGGAGAACAAGAAGTCATCAAGAAGCTAAGACCTCCTGTGAGTCAGCGACATGTGGGCTGACTAGGGGGGAGCCAGGCACCAGCCCCTTCCAGCATGTGGGCAGGGAGACAAGAGAAGCCAATGCCCACCCCCCACAACCCCACCGCTGCCATAAGCGACCAGCTGATCCAAAGCTTGATGATAGCTTATGTGGTAAAATACAATTTAATGCTTGTAGTGTGTAGGGTTCCTCTGACTTTGCAGGTCTAAAGCCGGTAGTCTAATCATCTACCAAGAGGATAATGATACGCAGTGTAGCACCTATGGGGGATCTGCTTCTAAAGGTGGTGGCCATTGTTAATTCCCTGTCATCTTGTTTTGAAATCTCATATCATTCTCATTATTTTGTTTGGTTGGGTTTTATTCTGTTTTACCTTTTTGATTTTATTATATCTGATGGCATGGGCAGCTATTTCAAAGATAACAAGATATGGTAGCCCTTTTGGATTTACTATAATTTTGTTTTGAAGTCCTATATTGCATTCATGGTTTGTTTTCATTGGTTCTATTCTGTACTGTTTTGTTTGATTTTACTAGTCTGAAGGTATGGGCAGCTATTTTGAAGACAACAAGAGGCATTATGGTAACCATTGTTCACTTTTTATTTTCTTGTTTTGAAATCCGGTGTCACACTGTCTTGTTTTGATTGGCTTTTTCTGTTTAATTTTGCTTGGTGTTATTCTCTTTAAAATAAAATTAAAAAAAAAACAAATGGAAGGGGGGGCGGGGGGAAGAAAGGAGGGGAAAAAACAAGAGAAGCAGGAAAAATGGAAACTATGTTTTTGTAAACAGGGAGGGGAAGAGGTGTTGAAAAAGGTGGTGGAATAGGAGAATCAAGACGTATCGTGTACAGGCACAAACTTGCTATTGGTGCATTTTATATATACCTAAAATGCACCAATAAACTTAATGAAAAAATGTTTTTCCCATGATTCCTACTTTTTTGGGGCTAATTTAGCCATAACTATGAAAAAGCCCTGACAACAACCTTGGGTGCTCAAGAGGAACCCCTGGGGTACATAAGCATTAGAACGTCCATTTAATAACTGCTTACACTCAACTTTTTTTCCTTTGGAAGTTCCAAGATCTTATATTGTATGTCAACATCACTTGGTGTTCATGAGGGCTCATTCCCTGACCACCTACAAATATCAAGCTCCACAATAGCAGAGCATTTGCAAGCCACCTGTGCACACCTTTTCAGATGCTTTAACTCTTCTCCAGAGTATTCCATCTCTAATACCATGACAATGCTATGTAAACAGTTGTTATGCTGTATTGTTTAGGGAACAAGGGGAAAAGTCGATACATGTTCCGTACAAATAGGATCTTTTTCCAGATAGTTTTGATCTGTGGTGGGTTGAGTCTGTGAATGCAGAACCCTTGCATTTGGAGGGCCACCGTTATATCATATTGGACAGTAACATATGTGTACAATATACAAAAACAATATACTGAAGTTGGCTGGAATAGTATTGAGGATCACATAGCCATTTACATGAAAAACATTTACTTTCTTCGTATTCTTTGATATTGAAATTTCACTTGGAATTTATACAACTTACCCCAAGGGAAGAAACTTGCATATGTACAAACACATATTTTGCTATGAGGACCTTATTGAAGAACTACTTGTCGTTGTGAGAAATAAACACTCTAAATATTCAATAAATATGACTGGTTGCATGAACAATATAGTTTATAAACTGCAATTCCCAACAAGGAACTCTTAAAAATGCATTGTAGTAGAATATATAATTGTCAAGTACAATTTATTCATTTTTTCAGTCAATAAATACAGCTGCCTGTACTGAGGATGTAGCTCAGTGACAGAGCACTTGCTTAGCATGTGCAAGGACTCAGTTTGATCTCCAGCACCACAAAACAAACAAAAAGCAGATGACAAAGATAAGAGAGCTCATAATCCTAAAAGAAACGACTGGGTTAATAAATGAGAATGTTAATAGTGGTAGCTGTAAGCTGTGGTGAAATAAAGAAAAATTTTCATTTTTTTCTGTACCTTCCTTATGTTAACTTTTGTATAATAAATGAAATTTCTGAATAAATTTTCTGCTTACAAAGTTTGAAAATGATAAAAGAATTTATGGTAAAGAGTCTCTTTTATAGCTGTTTCAGTCAACCTAGTCCTTTTTCAAGTATTCAAGGTTTTCGCTTTCTTGAGTATCTTCCTGGGGATCTGTTACGTTGATATGATTTTTATATTTACATAAGTTCTTACTGCCATTTGCACAGAATGCCATGTGACACAGTTTCACACTTTGCTGTACTAAGCTTGAACACTTCTCCTTTCTTCTGTATGGGAATGTAACTGAAGCCTACATTTCTAAAAGTGGAATGGCTGGATCAAAGCACCTATACATTAGTAACTTAAGTAAATATTGTTATATTATCTCCTGAAATTACAAAAACCTCTTCTCGTGGCATCTTTTACTGCTTTAATATTTGACTCTTTGTACATTTCACTTTAGTTCTACTTTATTTTATCTAGGCTTAATGGATACTTAATAAGAAAACCAAATAATTTAAAATATTAAACTCCTCACTCATTGTGGAAATTCAAGTGCTGGTTATCCCCATCTGGGAGATCACAGGATCTAGATGCAAATAAGGGTGCCTTGCAAAGGTTCAGCTTACACAGGCATGATTAGTGTAGCAAGATCTGTGTTCTCTGTCGCGCAGGTTTACTGGCTTCCAGGAAACCTTCCAGAATCTCACTGGCATGAAGAGAGAAAGTCCGAGAGCTTGAATCCCACTCTAAAGTGAATTTTTCCCTGCACAAGAATTAAGGTTGCTGGCTGGATTTCTCTTCTGGCAAATTGTAAGTTATTTTCATCATTTAAGTAAAGAGCAACCGGCTCGCACTCGCATGGAGAAATGGGGTGTGTTGATGTGGGCTGCATGGATTTGTATGCAGGAATGTGAGGGCACACAGGAAGAAAATGAACTTTATTCCTGCAGAGATTCTGTAGACTTGTTACTCACTGGCAAATGCAAGCAGCTGTACTGAAATGTCAAATGGATTTGCACAGCTGACTCAAGTTGCCAAAAAGAGAGCAGTGTAGTAGTTCCATAAATTGACCCTGTCCAGCCAAGCCCTGCTTAATATAGATCTGGCCTGAGCCTAGCTGTAGTCACTCTTCGCCACCTAGCAAACACCAGTGAGGCTCTTGGGGGAAAAAAATCTCAAGGGTGGGTTGACCTGAGATCCTTGTTAACTCGGAGAACTTCTTGCATATTTCTTCCTCCTCTTTTTAAAAAATCATCTTCAATTATTTCTTCTTTCTTTAATTAAATAGAAACATAGAAAAATAATGTCAGAGCATAGTAGGAATTCAGATCAAGAAGAACTCCTTGATGAGGAGCTTGATGAAGATGAGATCTTGGCCAACTTGTCTCCAGAAGAGCTGAAGGAACTACAATCAGAAATGGAAGTCATGGCCCCTGACCCTCACCTCCCTGCGGGGATGATCCAGAGAGATCAGACAGACAAGCCACCAACAGGAAACTTTGACCATAAATCTCTGGTTGATTATATGTATTGGCAAAAGGCATCCAGACGCATGCTGGAAGACGAACGTGTTCCTGTCACTTTTGTGCAGTCTGAGGTAACCAGGGATGTGTGTGCGACACAAGAATGGTGCCGGGGACCTGGCTGTCCGGTCTCCATGTTGTAGCTATGATGTCCCAGGATTTTGTCCAGTTTCTTTTCATATCTAGATTATATCATAAGATTTAGTTCTCCTTCATAGAAGCTTTCTGGAACATTTACTGTACTTGTGAAGGAAAAGCTGGTCATTTCTTGATCAATGTCTGTTCTTACACCTTACTGTAATGTTTGTTCTGTGGGAAGCCTATACTCTATACAACTATGATAGTTGCAAGCAATATTCTTAACTCTTTTTTTCTTCTTTTTTGTTGTTGCTCTTTTTTCTTGGTTCACAGGACCCTTTGAGAAGATTTGCACCCTCTTTTTTATATGAAATACTTCATATCCAGTGTCAAAGATTTCATAGTTCCCTAAAATTAGTCTAATCAAATATTCTGCAATTAAATCAAGTTAAATAACCCAAAATGTAACATCCCCACCATGTACTGGGTATCGGTGATGCCATTTAGAACGTGGTAGCTATTAAGCTGTTATAGTTTTTAACTTGAAAATAGCTTATTTTACATTATACTTAGCCAAAATTGTACATAAAACTGCAGACAAATTTCTAGAACAAGTGATAAATTTGGATTCATTTTGGTAATAATTTTCTGGCACAATAGAGCACAATGAGACAGACTTTCCATTTGATTTTCAAAACACAGTTATAAGAATAGTGAGTTGTTTTGTATATTGTTTTGCTTTGTTTTGTGATCCTGGAGGTTAGATCCATAATCTCAAGTTTCCTGGGCTAATGCTGTACCACTGAACTATACTCCCAGCCTTTTAAAAAATTGAGACAGAGTCTCACTTAACTAAGTTGCACAGGTTGACCTCAAATTTGCAATGTTTTTGCCTCAGTCTCTCAAGTATCTGAGATTATAGGCACATACTCTTGCAAGATAATTCTTCCTGAAAAAAATTAATCTAGAAACTAGAATTGTTGGCTGTATAGCTTTTTAAAAATGTTTCATTTAAAAATGACTTAGCAAAAAAAAGATGTATTCTCAGGTAAAATTTCTTCCATTATGCCTGCTGATACCAATATATCTTTACAGATTATTTATCAATTGGCTGTCATTAAGGCAAGCCGTAATTGGTTTCTTGGTCAGGAAAATGTACTGAGCTCAAGAAAATAAATTGCTGACTTAATCGGGTTAGAGCTCATGATACAAATTGTACAGCTTTTACAAGTTGAGGTCAATAGATTCAAACTCAAGTCTATAGGAGCACCAGTTTTAGAGAAAAAACTAGTCTGAGTATTTCTAACCTTGTTTCTATCTCTGGTAGAGACAGCTTGATGGTTGGCTCCCCCTGGTGGGACAGATGAGATATTCAGTGGAGAATGCTTGTTTAAATACAGTCAACTGTCAATTCCAACCTATAACGCAAGAAGTGACTGAAAAATACAGTGAATGTTAAAATTAAAAATCTTATTATAGTGAAAGATATGTAGTCAAGCATGACATGGTGTATTTGAAGCGAGGGAATAATTTGAGTATTTCAGGGGAATTGTTTCAGGGGGATTGGCAGTGTTTCATTTACTGTAATAGATGTTTCATTTGATGTCATACTTTTTATCACCCCACATTAAGCAACCATTTATGGCAACCTCTATCAAATAAAAACATTACGGTGTGTGTTCATCACCTTATTCACCAGCTGTGATACCATGTGGCTCTTGGATTGCCCCCAAAGCGAAAATGACCATTAGAAGTAAGCATTTTGACTTGATTGAGGAAGCCACACCAGTACAACTGAAGAAATGTCAGAGGGCCTCCAGAACTGCTTCTGAAAGTGGCCAGAACAGTGGGATAAGGGCATCTCATGTGGAGGGGAAGCTTCTGAGGAGGATTAATAGCAATGTGTCTTTTACAGTAATAAAATTTAAAAATATAAATACCATATTTTTATCACACCTCACATACATAAGCATTAAGTTTTTGCTCAGATGCTCCTGGGTCTCAGGTTGTTGTACTAGCTTTTAAAATGACACCTATAAATTAGACCTATTGCATACAAGAGCATAATACACAAGAATCTAATAAACTTTATTTATTTTTAGAGATTAAAGCCAGAACCTCACACATCCTAGATAAGGACTGTGCTATTGAGCTACACCCATAGCCTTTTAAATTTTTTACTTTTTATTTATTTGTTTATTTATTTTGGTACTGGGAATTGAACTCATGACCTTATGCTTACCAGGCAGGTGCTGTTCCACTGAGCTACATCCTAGCTGCTTTTTAAATTTTGAGACAGAGCCTCATCGTATTGCCCAGGTTGGTCTTGAACTTGTGATGCTCCTGCCTCAGTCTCCTGAGTAGCTGAGATTACAAGGGTGCATCATTGTACCTAGAGACTTATTCCGAGTAAACATCACGGAAGGGTTTCTGTTGTTGGCCTTCTTACACAAAACAATTATTTCCACATTATCTGCATAGCATCATTCCATTTTAGCTGGCTCCCCTTTCTAGGAACTTTTCTTCAAAAGAAACAAAACTAAAGAGGCTGTCTCTGGAGTGGCCAGGGTACTCTCAGCAAAACTAATAAGACAAAATTCAAACCAAGATAAAAAAAAAAACTCCAAATCATTAGACTTCTTTTTATTTTTCCCACATTATGTTACATTCTCAGGGAGATTTGATATGCATGTTTTATAAAATTAGCATAAATTTTAGGAATATAAACTTTAGTTAGGACAATAAGGAAACTACTGTGTAAGCCAGACCTGTTGGGTACAAAGATGCTTTTTTCAGCTATGTATAGGAATAAAACTGCAATGTTTTGAGAAAAAGCTATAAAGTTTTCAAAACAAATAAAGTTTTAACTGCCTCTGGAATTGAATGTCATTTTGAAAAACAACACAGAATTTGAAAACAAAATTAGCTAGGTTTTATTTAAATAGAGTTGGTGTCTCATATCCTCAGAGTCTACATCCTTAGATTCAACCAACCATAAATCAAAAATATTTTTAAAAGCTGGAATCTGAGCTAAACATATATCAACATTTTTGTTTATAATCATTCCTTAAACAATATAGCATAACAATCATTTATACAGCATTTACATTGAATTGGGTATTATAAGTCATCTAAAAATGACTCAAAGTATCTGTGAGAGGGAGAGTGTGTATAGTACCATGCCCTTTTCTAAGGGACCTGAGCACACATGAATTTTGGTAGCCCCGCGGTCCTGGATCCGATCCCCCAGTGACACCAAGGGCTCTATATGAGGCAGGATAAAAACAGCTGAAAATGCGTTTGTACTTATGTGAGTCTATAAAAATTTGTCCTTATTATGGTTGTATTTATTTATAATATATGTGCTTTGAAAAAACTTTAGAATTGTGTAACATAAAAAGTGAATTTCGGCTGGGTGTCCTAACACGTATAGGTCCTGGGTTCAATGTCCAGGCAGGAAAAAAGTGAAGTCCTCCAAATGCTTCTCCTCTTCACACTTTCTTAGTAGTGATCTCCCTTTCTCAGAAGTAACCCTAAGCTTGAAACATTCCGATAGTTTTCTCATATATATTTTATATCTATATGGAGAAGGAGGGAGAGAGAGAGGGCACAACACAGTATATGTAGTATATTGGCTTGCTTTTTGCTTTTTTTCTTTTGCCTAAAATAAACTTTGGTTTGATTTTTTTCATTTAAAATAAATATTTTTCACTTAATTTTTTTTAGCTCTGCTAGATATTGCTAAAGTTTTTATTTGTTCCTGTTATGTGTTCTAACCCTACAAACCTCTGCTTTAGGAAAATACTCAAGAACAGCATGAAGAAAGAAACAAAAGCCATAAAAACGTGCCCCAGTTTTTAAGAGAAAAGCTCAATAATGAAATAGCTGCAATTAGGAAAAAATCAGAGAGCAGCAACGATGTACAAGAAACAGATAATGATGATGATGATGATGATGATGATGATGATGATGATGATGGCGAGGCGGAGGAAGATGAAGATGAGGGGGAAGACTGCGGTGAAGAGAGTGATGGAAAAGAAATAAGAGAAGAGGAAACGAAAGCAAAGGAACAACTCAGAAATTGTGAGAGCAGCTGCCGACAGGAAACTACTGAAACCTTCAAAGAACAGGCAGACCAGCCAGAGGCCCAAGAAAAAAGTGAGAAAAAAATATCAAAATTAGATCCTAAGAAGTTAGCTCTAGACACCAGCTTTCTGAAAGTGAGTGCGAGGCCTTCCGGGAACCAAACCGATCTGGATGGGAGCTTGAAGAGAGTGAGACAGAATGACCCTGACATGAAGGAACTCAACCTGAACAACATTGAAAACATCCCCAAAGAGATGTTACTGGACTTCGTCAATGCCATGAAGAAGAACAAACATATCAAAACTTTCAGTCTGGCAAATGTGGGCGCCGATGAGAGCACAGCGTACGCCTTGGCTAACATGCTGCGTGAGAACAGGAGCATCACCACGCTCAACATCGAGTCCAACTTCATCACAGGGAAAGGCATCGTGGCCATCATGAGGTGTCTCCAGTATAACGAGACGCTCACTGAACTCCGATTCCACAATCAGAGGCACATGCTTGGCCACCACGCTGAAATGGAGATATCCAGGCTGTTGAAGGCTAACAGTACTCTCCTGAAGATGGGCTACCATTTCGAGCTTCCAGGGCCTAGAATGGTGGTAACTAATCTGCTCACTAGGAATCAGGATAAACAACGGCAGAAAAGACAAGAAGAACAGAAACAACAGCAGCTCAAAGAGCAGAGAAAGTTAATAGCCATGCTGGAGAATGGTTTGGGGCTGCCCCCGGGGATGTGGGAGATGCTGGGAGGACCCATACCCGATTCCAGAACACAGGAGTTCTGCCGGCCACCTCCTCAGCCTCCCAACACCCAGCCGGTTCCCTTCGGCCGAAGAAATGAGGTGATGAAAAAGCCATCACAGCCTCCCCAGTGCAAGACAGACCCTGACTCCTTCCGGGTGGTGAAGCTGAAGAGGATCCAGCGCAAATCTCGCATGCCAGAAGCCAGAGAAGCACCAGAGAAAACCAACCTCAAAGATGTGATTAAAACACTCAAGCCAGTACCCAGGAACAGGCTGCCCCCCTTGGTGGAAATCACTCCTAGAGATCAGCTCTTAAATGACATTCGTCACAGCAACATCGCCTATCTGAAACCTGTAAGTAGAAGGAGGGAAAAATGGTGAACAGGAAATGCACCCCCATTCTGTTCCCTGTACATTTTAACACAAGGAGATACTCATGGTGACTAATCAGGGAAGCCAGGGAGCGTAGCCAGGAATAGTTATCCCTAAAGACATATAGGTGCCTGACTACTGTGACAATATTAGCAACTAGCATTTATTGAGCACTTTCTATAAACTGGGATCATTGTGTCAATGGACACACAGCATCTTACAATTCCCTAAGTAGGTATAATTCTTCCCACTAAGTGGGTATATTCTTCCCGCTTAAAAAACTTCTTGGCCTGCAGAGTAGTGCAGTGGGAGCATGTTTTGCCAATGAGAAGAGGAGGCCCAGGCTTGGAGATGTTGCTAACATGTCTAGGAGATGCAGCTAAGGAGTGGGAGAGCTGAGCCTTGGGTCACCCTGTTATTCACCCTGCTGCTCTGCAACCTCCAGGTGCTAAATGACACCTTTCTAGCCACACAAGTGGAGACTGGAGATCCTTAGGGACCTCGTGGGAGGAGTAAACAAGAAGGAGGCCTAATTAGGCCAAGTTTATAAGTAATTGGAAAAACCACGAAAGACAGTTGGTTCTTTTTAATACATGAAGAGACATTACCCATAATTGCATTTATACTTTCCACATTTCTTTTCTTTTTCTTTTTTTCTCTTTTTTCCTTTTTTTTGGTGGTGGTACTGGGGTTGAACCCAGCACGTTGGCACTGAGCTACACCCCAAAACTTTTTGATTTTTGTGGCAAAGTCTCACTAAGTTGCCACGTTGCCCAGACGCATCTCAAACTGGTGATTCTCTTGTCTCAGTCTCCCAGAGTGCTGAGATTACAGGCAAGTGCCACCAAGTCCACTTTACATTCTTAAATAATTAAGTCAATAGTTGAAGGGTAAACCTAAAGTGACAGTCTCCATGAATCTCAAGAGTTTGCAAATATTTACTGTTATTCAGTATTGCCACCAAGTTTAAAAAGTTCTATTCTTTGCACCTGAAGTTGCAGAAGTGAATTTTTGGAGGTCGTTATTATAACCGCACTTACAGAGGCCGAAGGATATGTGTCATTATTACATTGATTGATACCTAACCTAACCGTATTATTTTAAAACCTTGTGTATGATTTAGCCAAGACAGCATAGTAAACATTATTTCATTGTAGATTCACAAGCTGTTTAAAAGTTAAATTTACATGTAAGATTTTACTTTTTCTGCTTTAAAGAGCTTTATATTCTAAAATGAGATAATTGTTACTTCCCCAACACTCATTTAAAAAATAATTATTACTTATTCGCATATATACATATTTATATCTCTTATTCTCATCTCCCAAGAATGCATTTACCCACATTCCATTTTTTGAATCAATGATGACTTTCATCTGTGATTTGGAGGCAGTCTGATTTTTCCGGCGGTGGGTGCCAGGGAGAACATTAGAGGT